CATACATACTTACAAGAATGGATCGATGAAGTAGAATAGTGAAGTCGAAGCTCGAAAGAGAAGGGAGAGAGCTAATGCCGACGCTTCTAACGTTAGTAATGTTGGTGATGGTGGTGGAGAATTGGTAGTGGTTGCTACCGTTTAATTAATTTTATCCACCGCAGTCTATCGGAGAAACAATAGATATATGCTGTAAACCATGACTTTCAATGCGTTTTCGTGAAGCATTGCACGCGAAGGTTCTCTTACTTTATCGTCATATAAAAAAATTATTAAAAAGAACGATAAAGAATAGGATAGAAAAATTTGTTTTAACTTTTAAAATGTTATTTTAAACGTATAAAATATTCAATATAACTCATATTTCGTAACTTGTATAAATTTTCATAAGCTCTTGCATACGCATATACATATATATATGTATATGTATATGTATATATATGTATTTGTATATGTATTTATAATAGTTTCTGCTGGTGAGTTTGATGAATAATTGATATCTTGATTGGTATGTAATTAGTTTGAAATTAGTTTGGAATAGAGAAGACCGTCGAGAAATACAGAACTAACACTTTCAAACTTTACGTAAACAACAGTGTGACCGAGATTCATTCGTTTTTACTCTCGTTAGTCTTTACTGTTCTCTCTCTCTCTCTCTCTTTTTTCTCTTTTCTCTTCTGTCGGTCGCACGTCCTTGATCACATAATTAAGACGAATGAGATTGCCGTAGATCCTGTTAAGCAGACGAATTGGACGCAAGGGAGAGCAAATTGTAAGTCAATTACAATTCGATCGCGAGTACACTCCGTCGTACTTAAACGTTCACCGGAAAAAAATTTCTTTTTTCTTTTCTTTTCTTTTCTTTAATTTCCTTTTTTACTTCTTTTTTTTTTTGTTTCAATGCCATCACGTTCACAGTTTCTTAATGAATATTATTGATATTATCGATAACGTAAACACACAATTAAATCGATCGATTTTGTTGCGAAAATAATTATTCAATAAATCCATATACATTTTAACGAGGCAATCGACAACTATTTTATTGAATAATTTAAATGTAATAATCGAAAAGTCGATAAATAAATCCTAAATCCTTTTTTTTTTCAATCAATATCATCGAAACTGGAAATCATCGATTTGTACAAATTATCGAGAACGTGTTTCATGTGATCATTGCGGTAGGATAGATCGCCAATGAGAATAATGAATTGCTCTGCGAGAAGTAATTAAACTTTGGGTATTCGTTGATAATTTATATACTACAACATGTGTTACAAAACAGTCGGGCATGAGAGAATATGCTGGGGAATATATTTTATACTATTGTCATTTCTTTTTTACGTTGTCAATGAAAAAGATATTTATCGTGTAATTAAAGGTATCGCTACGTAATTAGTCGATCGCAAACCGCCTCGACGAGTTGGTGAATGTTCGAACGCACTAATTATGGAAACTCGATGTATCGTAAACGTTCGAAAGAAAGAAAGAAAGAAAGAAAGAAAAAAAGAAAGGGAAAAAAGAGATGAAAAAAAGAAAAAGAAGGAAAAAAGAAGAAAAAGTTTACGGAAAAGTTTATTTTCTTTTACGATAAGTAAACGAATGTTTTGTTACTACTTTCTTTTAATTAAGTTTCCATGTTGCATGAGAGATAAAGGGGAAAGGGGCAATAAAGTTGAAAGAACGAATCTTTCATTGATAATAAATAAAATTCTTTTCCGATAAAAAAATCGAACGAAGAAAATTCATTATCTTATTTCGCCGAAGACGGCGAATATAAAAGGGTTGGCTGTTTGAAAAATAAAATATTGAAAGTAATGATAAATCAAAAGAAGACAGAATGTTTTCCCGTCGGCATACCATAGTTTATCTCTCGGCTCTGTCGTATCGTTTAGAAAAACGTATACAGAAGCTCTCCATTTCTTTTTTTGTTCGTCGTCAAGAGGAAAGGATTACCGCGCGTATTAACGCGAACGAGTTTAATGCGCGCAATTCAAAGAAGTAAGACAAGCCGAAGGAAGAGGCGGTTATCCACGGATGGACGGACGAACGAACGGACGGATGGACGGAGAAAAATCTTGTCCGGCGAGAAGATAGACGAGTAGGTAGGTAGGTAGGTAGGTAGGTAGGTAGATAGGTAGGCGAACATCAGGGAATATCGTTGCCAGGAGCAAGTTCTTTCGACGGTAACATGACGACTGTCCGTCGTTCCGGAACAACTATTAAATCTTTCACAATTTCTATATTCTTCTATCTCTGTATTTCTTAGCAAAAGAACTACATTATTATTCTCGTTGTATCGCGAGAAATATATATCTTGGCATAAGTTGAAATATCGAGTCTTCGACTTTGTTAGTTTCGTTCTATCATCGGAGATAGAAAGAAGAAAATATTTCGGTGAGAAAAAATGGAAATCGATCGGTCTTCATGAAAATCCAGACCAACCGGTAGTAGGTACCTCGTTGAACGACTAATTAGTAGGAAGGAAGGAAGAAAGAAAGAAAGGAAGGAAGGAAGGAAGGAAGGAAGGAAGGAAGGAAGGAAAAGTTTGGAACAGTCGTTGCCTTGGAAAAGTCGATGCGACGGTTTGCTCATCCATTAAAATGCCCAAGAGAAACGCGACGTATCGCAACTTTGGTCGTTAAGCGGCCGACGACGTGAGAGAGAAGGAAAATCGCGCGCGCGTTCGCAGGAAACGCGCCACCAAACGAATTTTTGTCTCTCGCTAAACGAGCGCGTAATTAGCCGTTGGATTTAGATGAGTGCACGTGTGCTTCGATATGTATTTACTATGTATATACTATATAAATATATATATATATACTACATATATATAAACGTATTTCCATATATAACGCATACATACATGCCAAAACATAGTTCAACTCGCATTTCGACATTCAGAATAATTAACAGGCTGCCTGTCTTGTTCAAAGATCGTTCTCTCGCACATTGGAATTCCACTCGACGTTCTTCCTTTTGATCTTAAAAAGAAAACTACTAGCCAGGAAGAATCTTGAACGCCGTGCAAATAGCGAGTATACGAAGTTCGTTGCACTCTCACCATCGTTCGACCCACTTTTCATAAAATAGTTTTTTTCTTTTACCATGCGAAACTTCTTTTAAAATAATCGCCTAACAATTGGGAACACAAGTTATACAGTCAATAGAATCCGCTTTTTTTTTTTTTGTATTTATTTAGGTTGCTTCGGAAAACTCTATCTCTTTCCTGTTTCTTTTTTTTTTCTTTTTTACAATATTTCATATTAAGGAACAGTTTAACCTACCGTTTAGATATATACGTATGTACAATTAATGGAAAAAGCGGGATGTGCGTTTAATGGCCGAATAATCGATAAGCAAATTCAATATTTGAATAAAATTTTTTTTTAACTAAATAAAAGTATAGATTTTTTTTCTATCGATAGAAATTATAAATGAGTTTATTTTCGATTATCGTCATTATCGATAGAGATATCATAATATAGTCGTCCAGTATTATTGCGAAACCGATACGTATACGTTTTTGTTTCATTTTTCCAATAAATTTGCTCAAAGTAAGTAATCACTTATTCCGCAAACGTTCCGTCGTATATATCTATTTATCTATTTATGATGTATATATAAACATACATACTTTGATTTACGAAGTATACGAACACACTTCGTAAACCTTTACCTAAAGTCCAACTTTCATTATATACACATAATTCTAAACGTTTGGTTTATTTATGAAATCGTTCTTATGCAATATTCGACCATTTCTATATAATATTTTACCGAAGCGAATATCTTTATGGTTTTAGCTCGTACTACAAGTATATGACGTTCCGACGCGATTCAAACTGACAGGAGCGTATGTATACTTCACCAAATTTGATGTCGCGCTCCAAATAACGCGAAAACATCTCTTACGTAAAATTTTCGTACGAAGAAAGAATACGAATGTATAGGTTATCTTTATACGAACGGTTGTTCAATTTTATCCTCGATTTGTTCCAAGAAAATAAAATAAGTAAAATCGATGTTTAAAAATAGGAATGAAAAAGGTCGACATTATCTTTATCAATTGTTATTGATGTAACGCAAACGGTTTTCATTTATCGTAGTTCCGTAAATACCGCAAATAAACAAGATCACTTTAATACGTTCAATCAATAAAGGAATAGCAAAACGATGACGATTACGTCTATGTTATCCGAGAAATTCTAATAACGCGATGTACAGCGAGGTGTCGCAACGCCCCACGTCTTTCCGATAGATGATCAATTAATTACTCCATTAATTCGCATTAACGACATTTATCTTCGATCATTCAAGATCTTCCATTCGTATTACTTCAACGATTTTTAATATTAAAAAATATTAGAAAATTATCGCAACCGAATTTATATAATAATTGTTCTTCGACTCGTAGCTTAAGATCGAGGGTGTTCATCCCTACGGTTAGCGCAAACTCCGAACGGGTGTTCTCGTCACAAGGGTGCAGCACTGTGCAGGGCCATTGCCAAGACGAAAGTCGGCTTTTCACGAGTGAAAATTTCTCTCTGTTTCTCTCTCTTTCTCTCTAACTCTCTCCTTCTCCCTATTTTTTTTCTCTCTCTCTTTCTCTCTTTTTCCTTTCCCTTTCCATCGGCCGACGCAATCGCTTCGGGTGACCCTCAGCGTATAAAGAACGCAGGAACGTTCCAACGACCCTTCTTCTTTCACCCCTCTACTCGAGTATTGCACGTAGCAAAAAGAATGCAAGAGAGACGGACAGAATTTGTATGCGTGTCCTATACGCGCGTGTATGTTGAGAGAGAGAGAGAGAGGGAGAAGGAGGGAGGGAGGGAGAGAAAGAGAGAAAGAAAGAGAGACTCACCGCCGACGTTTCTCCACCGTCGCGAACATGGTGGGGATAGCTGGCAACGTGACGTTCGCGTCCGTAGTGGGGGTAGACCGGCCGACTCGGTGCCAGCGAACCCTCACTCAGAGCAACAGTGTGCTGCGCGCCACCGTATAGTAAGTGTCGTTCTTCTCGAGCTGCGAATTATATTCGTTATATACTATACGCGCGTGTATCATTCACGAACAAAAGTACGAATTAGTGTTATACACTTGTGAAGAAGAAGAGAAAGAAGAAGAAGGAGAAAAGTGAAACAAGATTATACACCTTCCTAGGATTTAATATCTCTATTTTGTTCCGATATTTCGATCGTATTTTTTCTTTCTCTTTATTATTTACTCTATTGATTTTCTTTTTCTTTATTTTTCTTTCTTTTCTTTTCTTTTCTTTTCCTTTCTTTTCCTTTTGCTTTTCTTTTTTTTCCTTGCGAGAATAGTGCAAAGAAGTGAGAATCATACGCGAAAGAAGAGTTTTGTTTTTCGTAGTGATTACAAAGTGAAACTTGTGATACATGTTCGAACGATAAGAAATAAAGCGGGAAAATTTTGATGAAAGTCCTCGAAACGAAGTGAATGGATGGAGATGGCGTAGGATAGTGTAAGAAAAGTCGTCGTCTCTCCTGACGAAGCTTTTCACGTCGCAAGAGCAACGATCATCATCTACATCATCATCATCATCATCATCATCATCATCATCATTATTATTATTATTATTATTATTATTATTATCATCATCATCTTCGACAGCAGGATCTTCGGAAGAGCGAAGGACAAGTGATATTCTTAGATCCGTGCATCTTATGATACTTTGGAAGAAACGAAGCATATCCTCGCGTACAAGAGAGAAATCTACGAGAAACGGAGAAAAAAATTTTATGTTGATTTTTACGTCATTTATATTTTCGTTGTTTGGTAATGACTTTTTAAAAGAGTACGTTGTACGCGTGTGTAAATTGTTTCGTGAAAGGAAGAAACAAAAAAAAGTTTTCATTGGTGGGAAAAAAATTCGTGTCTCGTAGAATCGGCGAGAAATATGAGCGCTCGTCGTCGCAGTTGTTGTTGTTAACTAGCGCATAGACAACGCACATATCGTCGCTCGAAATTTGGAGGTATGTATGTTAGAAAAATTTCGATATACATTATATCTTCCTTCCTCGTTTATGTTCTTGTGGATTTAAAAGAAAAAAAAATTTTTTTTTAATTTTTTCTTTTTTTTTTTTTTTTTTTTTTTTTTTTTTTTTTTTTTTTTTTTTTTTTTTTTTTTTTTTTTGTATCCCTTCATATCGAAAGGCAAAAGGACAACGAAATTGCGCGAGTGTCGTTACATGAAATATTATGTGTAATAACATGTATAAGGGTAAATGTGTATACATGTATTACGTATGTTCGCCTTGATTATATCTGAAAATGGGTGTTAACGTAGTAGTAATTGCAATTGCGGGAAATAGGCCATATAGTCGAACTTGAAAGCTCATTTTACCGGAAATTTAACTTTTCGAAGTGTGGGCGAAATGAACGGAGACGCGCGCGGAACGGAATGAACACACACACACACATATACACACTGTGTTCAAAGCGCGTAATGCGCTCCGTTCCGCTTCGGCGTAAGGATATACGCCGGCCACGCGCTTTTAACTTCTCGCACGTGACCTCTTTTCTTTTCTCTCTATCTTTTTCTCCTTCTTTCTCCGTCTCTCATCAACACATTTCGCTATAAGTTCCTTTTTTTTCCCCCCCCTTTCCTTTTCTTTTTTTCTTTTTTTTTACCCTCGTCGTTCTTTTCCGCATAAGCGAAAAAAATAGTTCATAACGGAGAGCGACTTTTGTGCTTTTAAGCGTGAAAGCGTTTCTTTCTCTTTTCTTTTCTCTCTCTCTCTCTCTCTCTCTCTCTCTCTCTCTCTCTCTCTCTCTCTCTCTGTCTTTCTCGCTCTCGCTCTTTTTCTGTTTCTTTCTCTCTATCGATCTATCTCGTTTTTTTTTTCTGGAACAGTCGATGATGCCATTCTTCTCAGTTTTTTTTTTTTTTTTTTTTTTTTTTTTTTTTTTTTTCCTTCCGTGGGCTATCGTTTAACGATCAAGTGTGTAACACATTTGAAAGTTGGTCAAATTTTTAAAGGGAAGTTTCATTTCAATTAGTGAAATTTCGATTGGGCCGAATGTTCGCAGGGAAATATATTTAGTGATAAAAATATTTCATTTTATCGTAAGATAGAATAAGATAGATAGAAAGAGAAAATACAAGGAAAAAAGGCATGTTCGTACTTCGTAAAGTATTTTGACCTTTACGCTTTGAAATCTGAACGGGTGTGACCGAGAAGGGAAGGAAGGAATCGGTGGTCTTCGTGGTCGGAACTCATTTCAAGGGTCGACTTTCGACGATCTCGTTTCTGGGTTTATGCTGGTGCCTCCTGTTCCGTCACTAAGAGAAAGAGGATCGTCTTTTCTTTGTTTTTTTCCTCCCCCATTCCCCGAATAATATAGAAAGTGACCTTCTTTCTTTTTTTTCTTCTTAATTTTTCTTTCTCTTTTTACCGAGTTCAAAAATATTGGTATCTATGTATATCCTATAAGATATAATTACTTTGCGTTACTTTAGTTTGAAAAAAAAAAAAGAAAGAAAGAAAGAAAGAAAAGTGATACACCATTCACGAATCCTTCTCTTTGTTCTCTTTATAGATAAAATCGATTCTATTTATTTTTTTAAAGAAATGTTCGACAACGAATTTCATGAAGAGTGAACCTCCCTCGACGTATTATAGACGACGAAGTAACTTATTCTTCTTGAAAGGGAACAACGAACAACTTTGTATTATTAAACGTACTATCATTATCTTGAACTTTCAAATGGACTTTGAAATTTTCTTTGAAAAAGCCGGACTAACTAGCGACAAAAGCGGTAGCGCTTGGCCAGGGGTGAGGTGGCGTGATGGGAGGAGGAATAAGGATGATCGGTCACTTTGTTCCTTCTTCTATTAAAAACTTCCTTTTCTTTCATTTTATTCGATGATGAATAAGATCTACGTTTTCATTCTTTTTGATTCTCGAGAAGAAGTTGAATTCGTCCTTGTGTTATTTATTATTATTGATATTCAATGTTCGTCGTTTATTGATTATTATCTTATTAACACAATGTTGAACGATGTGCTAATATTATATGAATTTATGGTCGTGTCTACAGTGCCAACGTGAAATCCGTTTTGTTACTTAACATGATATAAATATTATTTCGAAATATTATCTATATACGAAAGATAAATAAATCGAGATGTATTATAATCATATTTAATGAATTTATCTTACTCGGTGGATAATGGTAGAGGAAGGGACAGAGGGATGGGGTGGTATGATTTCTTCGTAGTAACGATGATAGTATTAAAAAATTTATATACAAGGTAGCTACTATTTTAGTTATTGCTATTTTTTTTATTAGTTATTGCTGGGCATTACATGCAGATATTTTAATCTCCAAGGGATGCTCTATAAAACCTACAGAAAAAAGAAAAGAAAAAAAGAGAAGAAAAAAAAAGAAAAGAAAAAAGATTTAAAATAAGAAAGAAAACGAACACAAGTTGTGGGCTTCTTTAAACCCTTCAAACCTTTTTCAGTAGCCACCCTGTATATATTTACTCTAATCATGTGTTTCTATTAAATCTCTTGGCGTCGTTGTCGTCATCGATATCGTCGTCGCTACCGTAACCCATCCTCCCCCCCCCCCTCATGATAGGATTAAACGTTTTAATAATATTAACAAACAAATTTTTCGTATATATAAATATAACGTAACGTTAGAAAAAACGTCCTGTTACCTCCCAATAGAGAGAAAGAGAAGAGAGGAGAATAGTGGCTTCAGAGAGCGATCTTTTTTCTTGCGGGTAAACGTAATGCGATATCTCGACGTTACGGATCCAATTCCGCGGCGGATACCGAACGGGATGCTATGAAAGAAAGAAAGAAAGAATGAAATGGAGAATGAAAAAAAGGGTGAGAGGGAAAGAGAGAGAAAGAGAGAGATTGCAGCAGCGAAAGGTGGAAAAGAAAAAACTTGCAAAGCAAATAAATTGAAGTTCCTCGCGGAGATTAAGAGGAGGTAGAATACAATCCTCCAAGCGGAAGCTAGCGTAACGCGATACGAGAAACAGCGTCGAAATCATCACCTCCCTCCTTCTTTTTCTTTCTCTCTCTTTCTCTTTCTCTTTCGCTTTTGATCCCTCTTTAGGTTTGATTTCTAACGAAAGTGAACGTTCCCGGAGATCGAATTTCGCAATTCTTTGAAGCTATGAAAAATATCGATGATATCATCTGCTATCATCTTCTATCATTTGCTTTAATACTTTCATTTTATGCAGGAAGCTAAATTGATCGTATCGATATATATATATATATATATATATATATATGTATACAGGATGAAATAGAAGTGTCACCATCATCGCAATCGTTGATGATCTACGAAATATTTTGATTTCGTTTAAAATTCGAAAATATTTTTATTTAATCCTGTACAAATCCCGACGTGTACGATAGTGTATTGTGCTTTTTCAGGCTCGTAATTAGAAAGAAATAAAATATAAGATAAAAATAATTGGAAAGAAGAAAAACTAAAGAAAACAAAAAAAAAAGAAGAACAAACAAACAAATAAACGAAAAGAAAAGTTTGCATATCTTGCAAGAATGAAAAAGAGAAGAAAATCTTGACAATAGAAAAAGGGAGAAAAGGAGGGATTAGGAAAGCATCTCGACATTATGCTTTTCAAAGTTCATAGAAGTAGGATGCAAGTAAAATTAAAAAAGGATAACCCCATCGTTGATGCTAGAAATGCATTTCGCATACATGGAATGTTCTGCTCTTAACGGAGATGTACTAATAAATCTAAGAAAAAGAAACGAATCGCATCTCTCTCTCTCTCTCTCTCTCTCTCTCTCTCTCTCTCTCTCTCTCTCTCTCTCGCTTTCCACTATTCCTTTTATCGGCCTTCGTTTCTAGAAGGAAAAGTAGGAAAGTTTAGTCGTATTTTGTCATTACATCGTCTCGGTTTATATCTCAGCAAGTTCTGAGTGTCGCCTACGAGGAGAGAAACGAGAGAAACTCGCTCGCTTTCCACCAAAGCTGCAAGAGAAAAGTAGTAGAAGCCATGGAAAATGCGTGCGACTTGAAGACTACAACGAAGACGACGACTACGACGACTACGACGACTACGACGACAACGACGACGACGACGATGAAATTCGAATTAATCTCGCGACCATCTCGTGGAAATCCCGGTCTTCGGTTCTGTACAAGCGCCACGACTGCCACTGACAGTTATTAGAAAGTTATGGCATGTTGGTGAATGAGAAAGACAGACAGATAAGCAGACAGGGAGAGAGAGAGAGAGAATGAGAGAAAGAGAGAGAGAGAGAGAGAGAGAAAGAGAGAAAGAGAGAGAGAGAGAGAGAGAGAGAGAGTGAGAGTGAGGGAGCAAGGGAGAATAGAATGTGCTCGAAATTCAAGACACCGAGCTGCAAGATAGAGAAAGGGAAAACATCTCTGTCGGTCTCTCTCTCTCTCTCTCTCTCTCTCTTTCTCTTTCTCTTTCTCTTTCTCTCTCGTTCGCGACACAACTTTATTTCGGTCTTTTAGCAACGGCGGGGGTGCTAACTCGTACATATACCACGTAGGAGAGCTCGTTGTCTCATCCTCCTCGACGTTATCGTTCGTTGTCTTTCTATGTATAATCGAGAAGTTTTGAAATTATTTCTAGGATTCTTTTGGAAAAAAAAAAAAAAAAAAAAAGAGAAGAAAAAGAAAGACAGAGAGAAGGAAAAGAAAAAAGTAGATATTTCTTCCATAATAGACTATTATTGTAAAGAAATTCTAATGTAAAAAGAAATGTAATCAATGTTTTTTTTTCTTTCTTTTTCTTTTTTCTTTTTTCTTTTTTTTTTTTTTTTTTTTTTTTTTTATGTTTTATTCGATCAGAAAGTTTGGATTGATTAATAAAGAAAAATGCGATAAAGGAAGAAGACAGGACGACGACTTCATCGAGTCGAGAATAATTTGCAGAATTACAATTTGTAAACTTTTTCATTCGAAAAATGAATAAACTTTAAAATATCTTTTTTCTTTTCT